ACATTTGGATATCATGCACTGGTAAACACGTAAGTGGAGAAGAATTGTCAATTAAAGCTCCTACTGTCTTAAGCATTGTTTCTATGTGCGCTCAGAATGCCTGAGTGCACTTGCATCTTTCCTGGAGAAAATTTGTTAAAAGTAAACTATGAGTAAATTTGTATTCCTCCTGGGGTTTTTAAAAATCGATTTCCGATGAGCATTCAATAAAGCCAAGCATTTTTAGAGTCCTTTGCCAGATTGGAATATGAATAAGTGTGCATTCGTTTTTGCGTTTGCAAGATCAGTTTCTGGATAGCATTCGATGAAGCAAAGAATTTAAAATTATACTGTTACTGTACTACTGAAGGAAACTACATAAATGCTCCGGAATTACTTTGGAGTCAAATTGCGCGCTTATCGGTTTATATGCATGACAGGGGTTTTGTGCAAATGTAGTCGTATGTGAGCATTTGCGTTTTGGTGGTTTTACAAAATAGAGTATTTGCTTCTACTGTGCAATACATTTCAGTCTCAGAAGTGGATGTATCTTTATCGCAATTTCTGAAACTATCTCTCCTAAAATTACCGCGGTCTTGATTTAACTCTATTGCACCGTCAGCCATTTGGATATATGTATAGTATAAGAGTCTTAAACGACTTAGCCGAGTTTAACTATTGCATTTGAAACTAAATAATCTTGCGATCCTTAGTTGTACAATCAATCATAATAGATCCATCCTCGTCAAAACACGTAGCTAATTAAGAGTCGTTGACGCACGCAGCCAATGTGTGCGTTCTGACTGCCGAGAAGTACAGACTGATTACCAACTTTCACATTACTAAATTCGAAAAGAAATCATTAGTTTATTTGACACTGCATATACCTTAAAGAAGGAGACATGATCGCCAGGACAAGAGCTTTATTAGCCTGACGTTTCGGATTCCTACTCGAATCCATCATCAGAGACAAAAAGCAGAAACGGATGGTTGCTGCACAAGGGGCTGCGGTATTTATAGGATGCAGTAGCCATGCTACCGCATACCTATGAACATTCACGGCCCCCCACTTCATCCGGGATTGACGAACTTGATAAGATCATTGCAAGATGTCCGACATTCGAGTCGGTAATTGCTGCAATTTCATTACGTGCGTTGGATGCTGGCGTGATGATTGCTCGACCATCTGACTCACCGACCCCGGTGTTGGGAAAAGTGTTCACCTCTGCCCTCCCCGCATGGCTTGTTACTCCGCCTAGGCGAAGTTTTAGCACGGAGTATGGAATGGGAAGCTCGTTGCACTTGTTGATGGACTGGGGGCCAGTAAACCATCATTCCAGTAGCTCCTGGCTCACGCGTTTGTCAACTCCTGCAAGAATTTCGGCCTCATCGAATTTGAATGTGTGGCCGGATCTCGTCGAGTGAGCCGCAACTTGAAAGCTGGCGTCATTTCTGCGCACCGCTGCCACGTGTTCGGCCATTCTCGTTCCGAGCTGTCTTCCGGTTTTTCCGACGTAGTTGCTTTGTCCGCAACCACACCAGATCCGATAAACGACTCCAGACGTTTCTAGGAGCCGAGTTTAGCTATTGCATTTGAATCTAAATAATTTCGCGATCCTTAGCTGTACAATCAATCATAATATATCCATGCACGCCAAAACACGTAGCTAATTAAGAGTCGTTGACGCAAGCGCCCAATCTGTGCGTTCTGACTGTCGAGAAGTACAGACTGATTTCCACCTCTCACATCAATAAATGCGGAAAAAATCATTGGTTTATTCGACAGTGCATTAACCATTCCACAGTTGTTGAGAATTGCTGTGCATGAGAAAATAAATAAGCCAACGATTTTACATTATGGGTGGCAAAAACACGTTTCTTGGCAATATAAATGTGCGTGCAGTCTGATAAGCATTCACTTCAGAGAACATGCAGACGAATGTTTTCCTTCTCTTTCTCAGTTTGGTGGCAATTTCTCTCTTCCTTCACATGAGGTACGTGCATGTCTAATGTGTCTTCACGAAAACTGTCCCGCCTGTAGTAAGTTGTTTTGTGACATTACGGAACATCCAACAAGCAGACAGATTTGGTTCTTTTCTATTTAATGTCAGTAGCCGTAGAAATAGTCCTTCTAACAGATAAATGTAAACTGTTAATGTTGTCGACTAAAAACCGTATCTTATAATCGTAAGTAGAAAACCTCCTCAGCCGGTCCATCTACAGGATGTTCTGGCTAACAAGCTCAAATAAGCAGCATAAATTGACCTTATGCTCCGAGCACTTCCTCTGAAAATACGTACCCTCGACAGGCAGCTGCTGTCAAGTTAAAAACTACATATTATGTTATTCGCTGGAATGCTCGGTCCGTACTTAAATTCTTTCTCGAAAAACGACAAACTCAAGAGCATCATAGAGTATTTCTTACATTGACTTTTAAGGCACCCGGCTATTCGTGGGAAATGACGGCTTAATAAAGGCGAACGAATTTGAAACAACGCCTTTTTATGTTATAATTAATGAATCAGTGATAATGATTTCTTGAAGAGAGTGTTACAGCAGAAATGTTCTCTTGCAGTAGGGGAAACACATTGTGTACTTGGAGCAAACGGCTAATTCCGAAGGATGCCACTGGAGACATTACGTTGGAGGTACCGATAGTGGACAGTTATAAGGTGAGTGAGCTATTTTTGTACTATTATTTGCCACGAGATAGGTGTGATAGTACAAACTGCATGTCATACTTTGCACAACTGTTTGAATAGCGATTCCATAAAATTTGCCTGCATATCTTAAAGGAAGGATATATCGGAAATGAGAAATTCTGGACATATATTTGGGCGAAAGGATGGTGTTCGTACAGTAAAGGCTACTTCCGCTGTCCCTACACTCAACGTACGATTTCTTCGCATTCTTATATCCTATAAACATTTTCGGTTGTTTGAAAATGCCTTTATTTTACGTCATAATGTTTATTTATTCGCACCAAGCAACGGAATAAGAAAGTACAAATGTTCTCTATATTTTGTATCGCATACACTTACTCCGCGAACGCCGGCAATAAAACAGACGATGCTTGCATTTGTACTTCCCTTTAAGACGATGGTTATCATTCAACGAGCATAAGTCTACCAAACGTTGAGAAAATCTCCTAAGCCATGCTAGAAAGCCAATATCCAATTTCCATTCATAAAGCTGAGGATGAGAGTATCCGTACGTTTACCTATGCCACATCCTGTCAGAGCTTTTTTTCGCTACAAATTCTGTAAGTTTTCTCAATGCAGCAAACAATCATCAACCTTGCACTTATAACCATAACACTCACTTTTAGCTGGCTTCTATGTGAGCTGGATAGGTGCGCAGACAATACAATGGTCTTCATGCTATTGCGTCTCAATGGCAATCTATCGGACCTAAAGAATGTGAGACATGCTTAAATTTATCCCAGCCTAAATCACAAAATTTTTTGTTTCAAATATTCACCTTATTATTATTTTGTATTTAAAGATAAAGTGTTACAGGTCTGGGAACCTTTTCTGCTCGGGATTTGGATCTCCTGCCACGCCATCGATGGAAAACTGTTGTAGGTCACCTTTCTACTGACGACTTTTTATCCCATGCTCCGCAAATATGGAACGTTGTCATCAATTTAATTATTAACATTACAACTGCTGTTCATTCATCTTCACTGGTATGGAAAACTGGAAGAATAACTTCCGTTAAAAGTAGTTTGGTAAAATATGGTGCACTATTAGGTAGTGCATGATGAAAGCCTCAGAAAATTTTCACGGATCATACACGGTCAGCCGAGGCCTAAGTTTTTCACTCCTTTAAAAAGCGAAGAGGCCAATGGTTATTTAAGGCAGACACATGCAAATTCTCATTCGTGTAATTCCTACAATTTGGAATCTGTCTTACAGTGTTGACCAACCTAGGTGATGTGGTTACCTTACAGCTTGCTGCTCAACTATGTACACCTGATTCCCTAGTGTTCAGACATTTGGGTATTTTACTACTACATGAGCATAAAACAAATTCGGTTACGACAAACCTTTGTTTAATTCTTCACGAGTCTTCTCTGCTAAGATGTCGCGCTAATAAAAACGTATCAAAGCATTTTCATCTTCCTTGACCATTTAGACTACGACATGCATGAGGGTCGTTGGACAGTTGAACTTGGCATCCCGTACACTGGTGCGTCAAGGGATTTTATCTACTGTTTCTTAAACGAGGACATGACAAAGCCAATGACCTACATCATCGACTGGAGAGGTTAGTATTCCTCACGGTTTGATGTGATTTCAATGCTACGAAATTGTATCTTTCGCACCTTAAATGTAGGTATTAACAACCACCTAGTATGTAGAGAGCGCGTTATTGAGGGAAAATAGTAAACATTGCAAAACTTAGGAGAAGGCGCATTTGATGTGATTAACATTGCACGGGGACCGTCCTTTAATAATCCGCGTAGTATAGATAATTTCGTATGATAGAGCTGGAAAATGAAAACAAATCAACAGGTAAGCCGCAATAATGAAGTATACATTAGAATTAAGAAGTTTGTTGTCGTCTCTAATCGTAAAGGACTCACTGTATTCTAACAAAAATGGGCCTCAAGCGTATATTTTTTCGTGTACTGCATGTTGCCGCGATAGGTTGTGTTGGGTCCATATGCATTTTTAAAGTTGCGTTTGGTTGAAAAAAATAATTTTCGTGCTGTAGGGTTCCTTAAAAATACAAATATGGTTAAAATGGTTAACCAATGAAGGGCCGGCAATTTGATGTCAGAACTGTGAGATCGGCGTAGTGATGTTTTGGTTTAGCTAAGTATCTCAGAGAGATCAAGCACACTTAAAGACTACTAATCTTCTAGTTCTCCCATCTTTCAACTCTCCGTTGAAGGCAGGACGTTTAATGGCTTACTGGTGCTTAAAAAATGCTCAACGAGTAACCAAGTGTATTTTGTATTGAATTACCTAAAATTGCAGTGTTAATGAAATCGCTGTAATTGAACTCAACACAAAAACAACTGAGTCATTGACGACCGATATAAAACAAACAGTTTTGACCATAAACAGGAATATTTTGATTGTATCAATTTTAGAAATAATTGTTGATCTGTTTATATCCTTCTAGATGTACAAGGCGACAGATAGAATAATCTCTGTGTGGTCCTAGTGTGGAATGTGTGTTACGTTTGGTGGGTACAATTATCAAAGACAGGAACTCCACTGAAATCGCCATATCTCATTTGCCGTCTTGTTTAATGTGTGTTTTATGTACTGTGCTCTATACAAAACCATGTCAAAAAATAAATGTTATCTTGATATCATAAAAACAAATGCAAACTCTAAATACAATTCTTTCGTTAACATTTTTGAAAACATTCCGGACCAGTGAGCAAATACAAATGTAGCATCGTTCAGGCAGATCGTCATAATTAACTCTTCTACCACGAAACGGTAGAGTACTCGGGATTGGTATATTATAATGTAGGATAATATCAAAAATGCGAATGAGCATCAAGGCTTTCGTCGTCAAGGGCAGTTAATTAGCGCATGTGTTTGTTCGTTTGGTGTAGCAAACTTTCTAATTATGAAGCCTAGAATGCTAATAAACATTCACATATCATTTGTGATAGACTGCAGTTCTCCTGTTAACGACTGACTATGAAGACACCCGAAAAGATAGATTTTCAGTATAGAATCATCCACAGGTGGAAGGGAATGTGCAATTCTGTTATTCTTTGTGTGCCTGATACGCGCACGTACTTTTCTAAGGGAGAAGCATTGAAGAGTCCAATGATTCATTGGGCATTTAGTTCGCTCGCCGATTTTAACAGCTGAAGTGTGCAAATTTAATGCACAAAGATGACTGGTGATAAATGTAATGATAGACGGCGCGTTAAAATCATGTTCGTATATTCCGGCCGACCACCAGAGTAGTTTGTCTACTTTTTCGAACGTTTAAACTCATGCAGGAGGTGTTATTAACGACAGAAGGAGCAGATGCACAAGACTTGGTACGCGGTGCCAGATCGATGAATCGGCTAAGTGAGTATGCATCGGCGACCATGGATTTATTCAATTATCAGAATTCTTTGATTTCAGCATGAACGATTATCATAAAATAGACGACGCATCATCGTCAAGTAGTACAAGCTACAATGTTTTTCACTACTGAATTTTAACAGTCAGTTTAAAACGACAATGCATAGAAGGGCAAGACGCGCAACACGCGAAATCCCAGTTTTTACAGCAGCACCCCGGTGGCTAACAACGTAGGTTGCGTGCAATTAAGGACATACGCATTGTATCGACATTTGACATGTTTATATTATATTTGTTTTACACACTTCGCGCCTGAGCTCAAACTGACGAAACTGAACCGAAAATGTACGAAATAAACGTTACTATCTTTACCAAAGTAACCTCTTTGTTTTAAATATATACAAATATTTTACATAGGCAGCTGGCTAAGGGTGCAACAGGCCAGACGCGGTCAACTTTTTCACGGTCGATGCCGATTATCAGTACTCCATCGGCCTTATAAAGTGAGGTATATAAGCATGCCAGGTAGGCGCGTGACCCCCACTGTTGTGTTTGGGATCTCACACGATCCCATTCTGTGCGCCAGCCGGCTTGCCACTGACGACAATGAAGGCTGAGCCACGAGTCCGTTCTACAGTCGGTTATGTTTGGGAATATCAATTATAACAGATGGTGGTTTATGGATCAGGTTACGGAACGTGCTTGTTCCGTTGTGCACTGGGGCTCATATAAGAACACAGAGGCAATAAGCAGACGTGACTGAGTTCGTACCGAAAAAGACAAGGTGAAACGGTCAAGCTTGTCAAAAACCTGATTGGTGAACCTACATCTGCTACATATGCATGTAGTATGTTATTACCGGCAAAGAAAAGGAGGACTTGAATGTACATTTCTGACTTATCAGCCGTTGGCTGCCCAACCCCGAGGTCTGGAACACCTGGGGCTTGAACTAGTGACCTGTTAGTTAGAAGTCCACGCCTCTAACCACTGGGTCATGAACCCGTTGCCTGTCGGTTTTCGATCGGGAATATACAATGGTAGGGGCACGCTCACCGATTGTTTTTGCGGAACTCACTCGTTTCGGTAATAACATACTGCCTATATCGTGGGCGGCTGTGCGGATGCTAAAAGCAAGTATCTCTGTCGGGAGTACGGTATAATACCTTTATCATATGGAATTCATACTACTTGTAGTACTACATGTTTTTAGAATGGGCATTACGTGGTTATTCCACAGCAGTTAATTGTCTTCGACTCAAATGTTCATTGAAATTTCTGTTCTGACCCAAAAAAGTTATGTCCCGGAGATTTAACTCCAAGTCCTGCACTGATTTATTTCTAACATTATTCACCTGTTTATTCTCTGGAATTGATATACCAGAAAACGCTACAGAGAGCTGGGGGTCCCACTGAAGAGCTGAACCCCTCGCAGCTGTGTCACGCTGCGGCAGAATATCGGAGAAATATCTGTCAGGGCTTTGAGCAAGTATCTATGTCGGGAGTACGGTATAATACATTTAATATATTAGATGGTAACGAACAAAGACAAGGGAGACCGGAATGGCCATTTCAGGCTTGTAAGCCGTCACCAGCCAGTCATACTCGACCCCAAGTGTGAGTCACTTGAGATTCGACAACGGCCCGGTGGCTCAATGATTGAGTGTCAAACGCCATGACCAAAGATCCCGGGTTCAAATCTCAAGTAATCCACACTTGGGGTTGGGTATGACTGGCTGATGACGGCTAAAAAGCCAGAAATGGCCATTCCGGACTCCCTTGACTTCGTCGCTACCATTTTATGTATATCTACTACTAATCGCTGTGCGACTGCCTGCGAGGGTTCTAGTATGAGCCCCAAGGCACAACGGAACGAGCAG